TGACCACATTGGCCTGTATGCCTTATGTTTATACCCCTCCATCAATAGACCCCTGCATGTATAATAAGTAGCCATAAGACCACAAAGACAGCAGCTCTAACTCCTATGCATAAATAGTGCACTGATGCTTTGACTGAGTATTAGGGTCAGTGTCTCTGCTAGTATTGGCTCTGATTTGAAGAAATGGAGGTTATATGCCCTTTTCTTCTCCTGAAGATCTTTAGTGATCCCCCACAACTTAAAAATTAATGTTTTTAATGCCATGGGCAGACTCAGCAGTAGTTTGTTTGTAGGCATCCTTCTTGCCAAATCTCCCTTGCAGGTTTGATTACATAAAGTATCATTCATTTCCTGAACTAAACCTCCTCTGCTATCTGGTGCCATTCTAATACCACCCTGAACGGAAATGTAATTTAGTTGTATATTCAGTGATCTCTACATACTGCACATATTTCTTTGGTGCCAAAAGATCATCTTCCTGTCTGTGAAATACGCCATGTAAAGCCATTGTCTTAAGAGATGGAAAAGTATGAAATACAAACCCATAAATGAACATAATCATGCATTCTAACTGGATACAAAGTCTTAGACAAAATGCCAGAGGGATTCATTACTGATATTTGTATGGGCCAGGATTTTCAATACTCCCTACTGGGCCCACTGCAATTATTGAGATAAAATCTATGAAAGCCAGAGTTGGGTTTGGTCATTCCTAATACTTGGGTTCCAGTCCCAGATACACACCAAATTTGGGGAGTTACCTTTTGGCAGGAAGGTTTTAGCATGTTGGCCTGTTTTGTCACTCTTTGTGCATGGATATTACAAAGAGACTCCTCTGTTTCAGTCAGTCAAACCTACTGGCTGTGTCTCTTCATTCAGAAAAAAACCCAAACAGATGGGTAAAAAGAAATAGGCCCTTGGCTCACCCTGTCTCACATGCTGTTTGCTCACTCAGGCAGGCTTTGGAAAGAAGCTGCCTTCTTCAAAACAACTGTGCTCCAAAAACACCAGTGGACTTCACTAAAAGGTCTGCTTTCTATTGCTGGCAGCTTGGCCACACCGAGGCACAGACATCTCCCTGCTAGGAGCGGCAGAGTTTGCTCCCAGGCAGCATGGAGTGCCTCAGGTCCTGGGCTTAGCCATGCTCAAAAGTGCAGTGAAGTTTCCAGCTGGATGCCTGAGGCCAGGAGCTGTGATGGTCTTTGAGAAGGAATCACCTGCCCAACACCTTTGTGCTCTTGTGAGGTCCCTTCCTTCTTTGCTGGTCAGCTGCTCAACTTCTGCAAATTTAAGTAATTTTTGCTCCTCCTCACATTGAATTTCAGACACAAGTTGCACTCAAAAATGCCCCATACCTCTCTTCCTGGAGTACCTACAACAATAGCACATTTCCCAATGAGCTGAGTAAGGAACTTTTCCCAGGCTGACAGTGGTCTTCCAGTGGGACAAAAATTCGTCTTGTCCTGCATACCCACTTCAGCAAGGCCATGTGCAACTGAGGTCACTGTTGGAAGGGTAGAAATGCTTTGTACAAGGGCAGCGACAATGAGTTCCCCACAGTGTGCTGCTGTTTCTATTTCAGCTGTCGTCTACTTACAAACTAATTTATAAAGCTTCTCTGAGCTATAACAGGCTGCCTGATTTAGGAAGATATTTACATGCAGGTTTAAAATTATAGGTCCCATTTTCAAAACCTTTTTTTCAAAAAAATTTCCCGTTTATGCAGGTAGTTGTCTATATTCTATTTTATTTTAACAGGCCACAAACACAGAAGAATTGCCATGAAGTCTGTATTCCTAAGAACACAACTCTGAAGTGTTTCATCTTTCTTTGACTGTCAACCATGTGCAACAAGGAATTCTCATAATTGTTTAACTTGAATATTTTTCATCAAAGAGAGCCTGAGTTTTCATGTTTCTGGTTAACAGATCATTTAAAAATATCTATATACACACAGGATCAGTCTGTGCTCTGCCTAGCTCTGTGAGGCAGGCTCTATGCAATTAATCCGGAGAGGCACTGCCTGCAAAAAAAAAGAGGCCAAAGTGAAAGTGGAGACAGGAATAAAAATGAAGACAAATTGGGAACCCACCAATAAAGGCAAAGTAGTGCAACTGTGCTTAGCTAACCTATTACATGCTAGAATTGGCCAAATTCCGCATACAGTGCAGTGGCTCTGCTTTTTTTAGTGTGATGCTGAATTCACTGTAACAAAATAAACTCAGATCAGCCCAAATTGTATCTGTAAATCAGCTTTTCTCTTCATAGACCAGTTCTTTGGGCACCCCAACACTGGCAGCTCCAGCCTCCCCTACTTTTCTCCCCCGCAGCTGGCCTGCTTTGCAGAGAGCAGGCAGCCAGCTGCTCCTCAGGGAGAAGCGCTGTCAGGATAAATATTTGAGCAGGGCAGCCAATTCCACATGTCAGGAGACATGCGAATGTCCACTGAGACTTATACAGTTCTCAAAGGGTTTCCATTGTTAGTTATAGGAGGAAATAGTAAAGCAGGTTCCCAAGCTCCTGGGCTATTTACATACGTAGCTTGCGTGCCAGATAAAAAACATTCCCAATGGAAATGAAAACAAGGTTCCAGCCAATGTCCTACCCAAACCATCCTTGAGGGTAAGGCATGAGAGAGACACTGAAAAAGAGTTTTATTTTTCCCCAAACCACCCATTGGGGATTTTT